AGAGAGAGAGAGAGAGAGCGGCTGGTACGGCCCTGCCGCGGTCTGCACGCCGCAAACAATGGCTCTGCGCGCCGCTTGTCAAACACGGCGGGGCAGTCGTGTCTGGTGATCCACCGCCTGCATTCCCTGCCCGCTGCCGAAGGTGCACTCATGTCGAGCGGGACCGGCAGCGAGCTATTGCCAGCCTCGTATCCCCCGCGCGCGAAGATGGAACGTTCGGCGTCGAGTGGGCGAGTTGGCGCCAAGCGCGGATGCGTAGCCGATGCCGCCCAGCCTCTGATGGCTTTGCGATCGGTGAGACCGGCCGTCGATCCCTTCCTCGCGGATCGCTGCACAGGCTCAGATGCACTTTGCGCCACGGGCGCTCTCCGCTCCCACGGCGCGCGTCTGATGGGCGAAAAAAAAAGAACGCGTGCCGATCTGCGAGTCCAATTTTCAACCTCAGCCAGCGCTTGCTCGCTCGCAAAGCTCCACTCAATTTTCGAGGGATTTTTTGTCGGGCGGAGGTCCGGCGACGCTCGCTCGCTCGCTCGCTCCTCTGTGGCTCTCCAAGCGAGGATCGCAGAGGGATCGTCACCCTCGTTTCAGACCCTCGCTCGTCCTCCACACTGCGCCCGCCTTCAGTGCACCCTCGTCTTGGCTTTTCAACCTCCGCTTGCAATTTTGCATGCGCGAGTGACGTCGGAAAAGCAAGCATCTGCTTGTCCTCGCAAAGCTTCCTGGCCAACGGAAAGCCACGCGGTGTCGGAAGCCCGCAGCCATTCTCACGAGACTAGCCACCAACGCTTCATCGTTTCCAGCCGGGAATTCGCACGGCAAGATCGAGCTGCATGCTGACTTCAATCCTCGCTTTTTCATTTTCGCTCTCCCTGCATCATCTGGACCCTCGTTCTTTCGATGCGATGCCATTGATCACGACCCCGATGATCCCCGATCGGTACCTCGCTCGGCGCTTTCGCTTTCGCCGGACGATATCGCACGATGCCGCCAACATTTCTCGATGGTTGCTATGGCTGATCGTTGTCCAACGACAGACATGGTCAGGTTGTGCGTGAAGCGCGCCGCTTGGCGTGGACGCTGAGGCACAAGCTTGGCCTCCAGCCCCGTCAGCGCGTTGGTGTCATTTCACCCAACCACACCATGTACCCGATCTTCGTCTTTGCCGCCGAGATCGCTGGTCTGGTCACTGCCCCCGTCAACCCAGCCCTGACTGTCGGCGAGCTCGCCAAGTCGCTGGAGCAGGCCTCGGTCGACGTTGTCCTCGCCCATCCCTCGTGCCAGGACAACGCTCGCGCTGCTTGGGAGCAGGCCAAGGCCGCCATGGGCCGCCTCTCCGTCTCGGCTTCCTCCTCTGCCGCCACCGACGGCCTATACATGTTTGACGACGCCGACGAGCTCGTCATCGGCGCTCATGGCGAGCCCGACCTCCGCGCACAGCTCACCGACAACGAGCTCGAGTCGTATCGCGTCGAGGACCCCGCCAAGGAGACTGCTTTCATCATGTTCTCCTCCGGCACCTCGGGCTCCGCCAAGGGTGTCGAGATCACCCACTCCAACGTCATCCACAGTGTCATGGCCCTCGTCGCCACCCACGACGACTACTTTGGCCAGAAGGATGTCCAGGTCGGCTTCCTGCCCTTCTACCACATCTTTGGTCTCATCAAGCTCATGCACCACCCCTTCTACCTCGGCATGAAGATCGTCATCCTGCCCAAGTTCAACCTCGACCTCTTCTGCGAGAAGATCCAGGAGTACCGCGCCACCGCCTCGCTTGTTGTCCCGCCCGTCCTCCTCCAGCTTGCCAAGAGCCCCGTCCCGGAAAAGTACAACATGACGAGCCTCAAGTGCGTTCAGTGTGGCGCAGCTCCTCTCTCGGCCGAGCTCTTTGAGCTGCTCGAGAAGCGCTACCCGGGCATGGCGGTGCTCAACGGCTACGGCCTCACCGAGTCCCTTCCTTCGGTCATCTGCTCCGGTCCCAAGGAACTCCCCAACTCCAAGGGCGCTGCTGGCCGCATCGCCCCTGGTGTCGAGGTCCGTCTCGTCTCGGAGGAGGGCCACGATGTCGGTCAGGAGCAAGGCCGCGAGGGCAACCCTGGCGAGGTCTGGCTGCGTGGCCCCACCATCATGAAGGGCTACCTCGACAATGAGGACGCCACCCGCGATGCCTTCACCGAGGACGGCTGGTTCAAGACGGGCGACGTCGCCATCATGCGCAACACCGAGATCTTCATCGTGGACCGTATCAAGGATCTAATCAAGTTCAAGGGCTTCCAGGTCTCGCCCGCCGAGCTCGAGGCCGTCATCACGAGCCATCCCGAGGTGGCTGACGTTGCTGTCTTTGGTGTCTGGTGCCCCGCCCAGATGACCGAGGTGCCGCGCGCCTGCATCGTGCCGCGCGATCTTGCGCTGCTCAACAAGCCCGACGAGTGCATCGAGCTCGAGAAGCGCGTGCGCACCCACATGGAGAAGCTCGTCGCCGCCCACAAGAAGATCCGCGGAGGCATCGAGTGGGTCGCCACCATCCCCAAGTCGCCCTCGGGCAAGATTCTGCGACGACTGCTTCGCGACGAGGCCGCTCGCGAGGCTGCCAAGCTGGACGCCCAGAGCCAGCTGCGTTCCACGCTCGTCACCTCGCTTTCGGCCGTCAATGCGAACAACAACGCCAAGAACGACGAGGAGGCCAAGGAAAGCATCTTCTCGCCCGTCTCGCCGGTGGCTGCCGCATGAGGTCGGTCGACGTTCCTTGCATAGCATCCTTCCTGGTCTTTCCTCTCGTTCCCACCTTCTTCGTTGTCTGTCCCTATCGTCGCTGCTCTCATTTTGCATATGTACTTGGTCTCGGTCCCGCCCCGCCCTCATTCACCCTCGCTCTCAGTCGTGCTAGTCAGCCTTTCCTTCTCGTCTTTGTTCATTCTTGGTATTCGAGGTCTTTGCCAGTAGCCATCTCATTTTATCGCTCGACAAACGTTGCGCGCTCACCGCGCTGGACAATAGCTCTATCCTTGTTCTTTTGACTGTTTGAAGTGTGCCTTTTGCTGATCGGGTCCAGAACGCATCCTAGGGCTGAGTGCTTGTGCTCGTTCACGAGCTTGCTTCCACTGTGTTGCTTTGCTGCCTTGAGTCACTAGGCCGAGCCAAACTCTGGTAAACGGCGCAGTGCCAATCACCGATTTGGGTGATTTGGACAAAGTAGCTCCTGATCGACCATTGAATTGCATCGGGTGGAGCCAAGTTTCCTGCTTGCCGCGTCGATTCCTTCGACTGAACTTGACACGGCCCAGCACAGCACGTTGTCTGCTCTAGCGAGGAGGAGACGGAGGCCAATGCACTGGTCCAGTCTGCCTTGAAACAGTACAGCACAGCACAATGCCCGTTCTCCGAGGCAAACTCGCACTTTGCGCTACAATAGAGCGGAAGAGACAGAGGCTAGTGTGCCGATTGCCTTGCCTTGCCTTGCCTTGCCTTGCC